CGAGGAATCCTGGGACCATACCATCTGGGGGGGGGGGGCCCGTGAACCCTCGACCCTGGATCATATACAGCCTGCGTCGTCCGAGAGCAAGCTGCGCAAACACAAACTTTCGGCGGCACGCGCGGAGTTCTTGCATCGGCGCTGGACCTCCCGGCGGCGCGGCGCCGCAGCGTGGCGCCGCCCCTGGCGCGCTCCACGCGTGAGGGAGGGGGGGCCAGCGCCGATCCGAGAAGTCCGCGCGGACCGCAGAACAAGATATTCCCCAATCAGTGCTCGCACTGAATGGGTCCTAGCGGAAATTGAACGATTTGGCGAAAACGTCCCGCCGACTTCGGTGGCTGGCTGGGTTCCAAGGTTCCCGCTTCCGGGCTCCCGGGCTCCTGCTTAGTGGTTCCGGGCCGATGTCGGTGGGTTCCGGGTTCCCGGGTTCCCGGTCGATCTCCTTATCGATCAAACCATCCACTGCTTGGGGGTCTTTCTCTTGTGTGATATGTATGCCGTGTCCGCTCGTCTCCGAACCTCCACCATCTCGGCGACGGTCCCCTCGTCCCACACCTTCTGCCCGTGCTCCTCTCGGCGGTGGACAAACCTCTCTTTAGTAAACCACCGTTTAGTGAAAAAAACGGCCTGGGACCGCAACCGACGGACCTGGACCCGCAAAAATAACGGCCGCGCGACGCCCTCTCGCGAACCGAAAACGGCCAGTTCACTCATCGCCGTGTCGGGGTAGGAGGTCTGTCAACCTCCGATCCTCCTCCCTTCTGGGCTTCGACGCCGCCTCGCGGGAAATGGCCTTGTCCAGGAAGCCCCCCTTCATGGCGATGCGGGGCAGCGAGAGGGAGGAGGCTGGCCCACTGGGTAAGGACCGGGGGCAGGCCGGCCCACTGGGGGAAGCGCTGACCTGGAAGCGGCGATGCATCGCCGATGGATCGGCGGTGTGCCCCAAGTGCAGGGCGACGGAATCCATACACAGCCACCGCTCCCCAGCCAGGCCAGGCCCACCCTGAACCCAGCAGCGGTGTATACCCCACGCCCTCCTGGCCAAGCGCCAGGGGGACGTATACCCATCGGTCGGAAGAAGCAGGCAGAAACATGAAGCAAGAAAGCGTTGCAAATAGATTGGGGTTCCGTCCGCCACCTGAAGAGGACGGAAACGGTGAAGCCACTCGATCATTGAAGTCGGATGGCGCTTAAAACGTATTGGAATCTGGGAATTCAAAAATACCTACTTTCAACGACCGATGGGTATACCCAGCTCCTGGGTTCAAGATGGGCCCGGCCAGGTAGCAATGGATCTGTATAGATTTCGTCGCCCGATAACGGGAAGCCCCCGGCGCCGTGGCAGGTTGGGGGGCACCTGCGCCCCGATCGACGACGAGTGGACCAGTGGGGGACCAAGGGGGGGTCGTTGCCCTCCACTCTGATCCAGGTCTGGAGGAGGAGGAGGCGGAGGGGGAGGAGGAGGAGGAGGGGGGGGAGGAGGGGGAGGAGGAGGATGAGGAGGAGGAGGAGGGGAGGAGGAGGGGGAGTCTCGGAGTGTCTGGCATCCAGGGTCTTTCCTGGGCCGGGATTTTGAAGGATTGAAGAAATTTCTACGATCGTCCGCAGTGCGGCGCGATTTTCCGACAGATGAAGACCAGAATCCCCCTTGTGCGTATTTTCCGAGCCATGCAGCTCAGTGTCCGCCCAAGGAGGCTGCGGCTCGGCGAGACCATCCAGCTCGCTCGGGGCTGTGAGGCTGGGTGTGATCAAGCTGCGGATGGGGCCAGGGTGGCGCTGTGGCAGATCCCCCATCACCTCCACAGTGCAGGATGGCCGCTGCAACTGGACACCTTGGTAGACGCCACGTCTCAGCGAGCGTTCGGGCACGGCCCGCTTATGCATAGGCACACGGTTCGGGTTGCTGTCGCAGTCGTCACAAAATGCGTGGGGGCTGGCAGGCTTACTTGGAGATCTCATGCAAAAGTACCATGATCATGAACCCCTCCTCGCTGGTCGTTGGGATGTTGAAGGAGCTGCAAGACCAAGGCGTCCAGCTCAAGGATCTCGCGGCGAGTGAAAGAAACGGGGACGGGCAAGGCTGCTTGTCGTGGGACGGTGGCGGCGATGAGGCATGCACTACTAAGCAAATAAGAGTTGAAAGGAGAGGAGAAGGAGGAGGAGGTGGAAGAGGAGGAGAGTGATGAGGGGGGAGGAGGAGGAGGAGGAGGAGGAGGAGGAGGAGGAGGAGGAGGAGGAGGAGGAGGAGGAGGAGGAGGAGGAGGAGGAGGAAGGAGGAGGAGGAGGAGGAGGAGAAGGAGGAGGACGAGGAGGAGGAGGAGGAGGAGGAGGAGGGAGAAGGAGAAGGAGGAGGAGGAGGAGGAGGAAGAGGAGGGAGGAGGAGGAGGAGGAGGAGGAAGAGGTGGAGGAGGAATTCCAGAACCAAGACGCTTCTGCAACGTCTTGACTCTGCGGCCGGTCGAGCGGCTGCTCCTGACAACGCAGCTCGGGGTCCCCAGATCGGCCGCCTCCGCGGCCGAGGCAAACCAAGTGGGCACTACGCTTAGGTCGGGCATGTCACCCTACAGGCGGATTTTGGAGGAAGCTTAAAAATAGTAAAATAATGCAACCCAAAAGCCCCAAAATACTCAAAACATCGTCCCATACTATTGTTCGACTATGTTCGAGTACTCCTCCTGTTGAGGGACAGGCCCGACGTAAACCTAGTGGGCACTACGCCGCACCATGAGGCGTCCTTGGACCTATAGAGGTTGGATGACCTGTAAGAGTGGCACGAGCTTTTCGGCTCACCACGCGGCACCACAAGCGCAGCCTCTTAGATTGACGCGGCGGTAATGGCATGACTGCTGGTGCCGCTGCTGCCGAGCTTTTCCGTGGGGCCATCAGCAGGGCCCGCAGCGGTCGACGGCTCGCGGAGGTCGACCCTGGGATCACCCCTATACGGCACCACTGCAGATTGAGGCAACGCCCTAGTGATCTGAGACATGGTACAAGTCCTCTCCCTGCTTCTGGTAGGAGAGAGGGCGAGGAGGAGGAGAAGGAAGGAAGACGGGGCGGAGCAGGAGAAGGAAGGAGGACGTCGCCCTTCGGGCCAGGCCCCCCCCCCAGGCAAACGAAAAATGACATAGACATACAAACTCTGAGGTCCGCGCGGATTTCTCGGATCGGCGCAGGACCCCCTCCCTGGCGCGCGGAGCGCGCCAGGGGCGGCGCCGGCGGCGCCGCCAGGGGGCCCCAGCGCCGATCCGAGAAATCCGCGCGGACCCCCGAGTCTTTGTGTGTGTGGATGTCATTCTTCGCTTCCCTACCTCGGGCCAGGCCCCCCCCGCCGCCCAGCGCTGCCCCCGAGACAGACGGGGCCCGCGCGAGGCCGCCGCGGCCGCCACGGCCTCCTGCTGCCCGCCGCGGCGGGCAGGCCGCCCCTCTGCCGCCGGTGGGGCTCCGTGCGCGGCGGCCCGAGGCGGAGGGGGGGCCCTGGCGCGGCGCCTGGGCCGGGATCGGGCGACGGCGGGCCGATGCTCAGCTCGGGCAGGTGTCCCCCCAGAGGCGGGCCTTGGACAGAAAATCAAAACATACCCCAAGAATCATCCAGCATGCCGAAAAGAGTCCAAACATCGTCCCCCGACTATTGCTTGACTACTCTTGAAGATGCCTCCTGTAGGAGGGACAGGCCCGACTTAGGCCTGTGACGACGCTGGGACGAGAATCACATCGGGCGAGGATAGGTCGAGAATCTCTGAGACCTGGCGGCTCTCGTCTCGGGCGCCGCGGCCTCCTCAGAGCGTTCCGGCACGCTCCGAGAGCGTGCCGGAACGCTCTGGAACGGCGGTATCCTCGTCCTGGCCCCGTCCGAGGGACGGCGACTGCAGGCAGACGCAAGCGGGGATCGCATCTATATCGATTTGGGACGCACCGACCCGGGTCAGTGCACACCCAGGGCAGTCGGGCTTTCCAGGATCCCACGAGATCCTGCAACATCCTGCTGCAAGATCTGGCGCTCTGGCTGACCCCCGATTTGCATTGACTCCCGCTTCAAGACTCCCGACCCGCTCTCCCGACCTTGATTCTGGGATTCTGGGGCGCGATCCCGCAGATGCGCGGGATCGCACGGGTGCGCTCCGCGCGGGGCATGCGCGGCACACGCCGCGTGTCCGCAGGGTCGCGGCCCAGGGGCCCCGCCCGCGAGGCCGCGGACACGGGCGCGTTCTTCGCCCACGAGGGGAGGGGGAGCGGCGGGAGGACGGCAGGAATGGAGGCCGAGGACCGGGGCGGTGGTCGGTCGGACGCCGTGAGGGGTCGACCTGCCAACAGCAGGGTGCGATGCCATCGAGCCAGAGGGGATGAGGAATGGGGGGGGGAAGGAGGAGGAGGGGGTTTGACCTCAACGGTTGCATGCCCCCAACCAAGTAAACGAAGGCAAGGGCAAGAGTCAGATACTCTTCCCACTCTGTAGGAGAGGGGGAGGAGGGATGGGAGGAGCAGGAGGACAAGGACGAGGCGGAGGAGGAGGGGCGGAGGAAAAGGCGGCCGGATGAGGACAGGGAGGAGGGGGAGGAGAAAAAGAGCATGTGACCCTCTAGATCGTCCTCCTTCGCCACCCCCCCCCACCCAATCTCCCCTCCACCCTCTTCGTCTCTGCCTTCGTCATGTTTGCTGCCATCTCATTCCCCATCCCCGTTTCTTAGTTATCCTCCCCCTGCCCGTCCCTCCTTCCCGTTTTCCTCCTCCATCCCCCTCCCCACCCTCCCTCTTCAGTTCCGCTCCCTCGCCGTCCCTGCCCCCGTCCTCCTCGCCCCCCTCCTGCCCTCCCCCCTCCCCTCTGCCTCCCCCTCCTCGGCCTCGTCCCGCACCCGGCCCCGGTGGTGGCCGTCCTCCTCGCCCTCCTCGTCCTGCGCTGCTGCGGTGCTGCTGCCCCGTGTGGCATCGCCGCCGCCGTCGCCGACGCCGTCGCCGCCGCTGGCGCAGGCGGGGGGTGCAGGGTCGCAGTCTGCGCGCCGAGCTGCCGCACCCGACGGTGGCGGGGCTGCCCACGGGGCCTCGAAGACCACTCCCTGCTTCTCGAGCGCCCTCGAAATTCGGGCCCTCCTGCGATTCCGCTCATCCATAGACAGGCGCGTTCCACCGCTCGCAGAGTGACTACTCGCAAGTGGCCTGGACCCCCCCACGGGGGATCTACGATAAGCTACATCGACGCAGACATGTGTTTTTTCCTGACGTTTGCGAGCAGGCACTTTGCGAGCAGTGGGACGCGCTCGGCGAATCCAAGTAGCGCCGCCGCTGCCGCTCTCTTCTGGGGGGGCGACGAGCCAGTTACCGGCACAGCTCCCCTCCGAACCTCTCCGAGGTAGCGGTCTGACCAGGAACCCGCGGCGACGACCCTCCAGGACGAGCAGCGGTGTGGGCACCCCTTCCTCCTCTGAGCTGCTCTCCGCCGTCGTCTTCGGCGCTCGCCGCGGCCGTCGTCGTGAGGGGCAACGTTAGGGGGGACTGGCTCAGGGGGGGGGAAGCATCGACCTGGATTCGGCGATACACCGCCGATAGATCGGCGATGGGCCCCTGATGGGGAATCCGCACCTTCCTGGGACGGGTGGGCTATCGAGGCCCCATCGGCACTCAGAGGACGAAAGGGGGTCGATGCGGTTCCCACTGTGCCTATCCCCTGATGTTCTTCGGGTGCGTTCAGAGCGATCCGGACCCACCCAGAACGCTCTCGGCGAGGCGCAGCTGCTGGAACGCACCCCGAAGCTGGAAAACCGTCAGGAAACAACGAAAAGAGTAGAAAGCACACTCGAGCCTCGACTCCCTGACCCCTAACGTTGCCCCTGGCGTCGCTCGCCGCCGGCGTCTCGGCGGTGCCCTCGGGGGCTGCCAAGGGGGGGGCTTCCAAGAGGGGGGGCTGGCGGGGGCAAATCATGGCCAGGGGCGTGTGCGCGGCCCACGGGGGGGCCAGGGACGTACTGAAATGAGAAGAGGCGCCGTGAAACCTGGGAAAATATCATGGCACACGCCATGATATCCAGCCCCCCCCTACAGTCGGACTCGATTGCACAGGACACGCGAGAGGACACAAGACCCTTCCGAGGGCCACATTGCCATAGGAATGTAGGAAGCATGGGTCGCGAGACACAGGACACAAGGGTATCCTTGATTTGGCAGGGTCGACCTCCCAATTTGGGCCGACTGTAGTCATCACCCCCCTCTTTGCCGCCCCCGACGCCCGGCGCTCCCCGCCCGGCGGCTGGCCGGGCCTGAGCGCCCACTGCTGCGTCGAGGCGACGGCGCACACGCCCTCCGCGGCCCCGCCGGGGAGCGCGGCGTCGCCTCGCTCAAGAGAAGAAGGGAGGGGGGAGGAGGAACCTCACCAGGGGTCGCCGAGTCTCCTGCGCCCTGGGTGAGAGAGAGAGGCACCGAGCTCTCAAGGACAAGACCGTGGCCCAAGAAGGGGGAGGGGAGGAGGAGGAGGAGAGTGTCGCTGCACCGACCTTGCAGACGTGCTGCAGCGGATTTTTGGCGTGGGTTTCTGTCAATGCAAAACCCCAAAACGGCGAGCGAAAAACAAAGTAAATGTCACATAGACTCTTTGTTGGTCTTCATTCCTGGCCAACAGAAATCCGCACGAAAATTACTTCGAACTCCTGAACGACATTCTCCAGGACACTCCAGGCCATCCTGCTGTTTTCCGAGCGAAATCCGCTCTGCAATGTTGGCGCCATGATTAGGGGAACGAAGACTTATATAAACAGAATATTTCGGAGGTCCGCGCGGATCCCTGCGATCGGCGCTGTGGCCCCCTGGCGGCGCCTCCGGCGCCACCCGCTCCGCGCTCCGCGAGCCAAGGAGGGGGGGTCCAGCGCCGGTCCGAGGAATCCGCGCGGACCTCCGAGTTTTTAGGTTCATGTCAGTATTCGGTCCCCTAGTGTGGGACGCACAAAGACATACGAGTACTACATGTTCTCCTGGGAGGCGCGCGCCAGACCCAAACAGATAGCACACCCATCTTGTAGTAGATCGCTCCCCGAGCGGTGTGGGCCAAAAAGCGCCCGCCACAACGCACATGCCATGAGAGTACTCGGTGCGAGCATCGCCCCCCGGGGGGGGGCGACGCACGTGTAAAGTGTGAGCGAATGAGAGCACGCCGGGGCGACGCCGGCAAGGATGGGGTGGGCGAGGCCTCAGAGGGTATACCCCGCGAGCGTGGGCAGCCGCCCCTCCCTCCCCTCCCCCCTCCATGGGGAGCTCGTCGGGGCGACGCCGGCGAGGAGGGGTGGGCGAGGCCTCAGCTCGGGTGGTGCCCCGCGAGTGTGGGCAGCCTCCGGGGAGGCGCGGGCCCGCCCTGGCCCCCTCTGGAGAGGGCGGGCCCGCCCCCCTCCGGGGAGGGCGGGCCCGCCCTGGCCCTGCGATCGCGCCCGCCTGCGTCGGGCGCGGGGTGCGCGCCCGGCGGGCGACGCGCGCAGCGTCTGCGGGGGAGGGGGGGGAAGGGAGGGCGAGGGAGGAGAGGAATCGGGTCGGGGGGGACAGGAGGGCGAGGGAGGAAAGGAATCGGGTCGGGCGTGTCCTCCTACAGGGGGACTCTGGATGCAACATGAGCCATGAGCGAACAGATGCTCAAACATTCTCCACGAAGGTCGGCAAATGGCTCCCAGATTACTTTTGCACTACTTGTGAATATTCCTCCTGTAGAAGGACACGCCCACCTTAAGAAGGACACGCCGACCAAAAGAAGACAGAAGGGACCGCAGAGCTGGAAGCGGATGAGGGGGGGCGGGGAAGGGCGCGGGAGGGGGGGGGAGGAGCAGAAGAGGGCACGTGACCGGCGCAAAGGGAGGGGTGGGTAAGGTGGTGTTGGTGGTGGTGGTACTCGGCTCTTGGTCCGTCTGCTTTGCCAAATGATGCTCTGTGACCACGGTGGCCTACACGTACCAGGCGAGTTTCTTAAACTATGTTTGAACTTTCCTCCTGTAGAGGGGCAGGCCTGACTAAACACCAGGAGGAGACGGCAAAGGTGATGGCGACTGGGGGAACAAAAAGATACCAATACTGGCCACACGCTAAAGGAGGTGATCCTGGTCAAGAGTGGCCTTTGGTGCGAGCCTTTCGGAGATCGCGGAGGGTGGGGGGGCCAAATCCAAACGCGCACGCCAGTGCTGGCAAGGGCCTTGTGGGCCCGCACCACTGGCTACTCCGGCGAAGGGTCACTCTTACGCGACGGTGCCGTTACCCCGTGGACCTCTCTCGAGATGCGTTCCGAAGCGAATCTGGCCGTGGCGTTAGGTCGGGCATGTCCCTCTACAGGCGGATTTTGGATGAATTTTTTTAGCCAAACATATACACCCAAACTATTCAAAAATGGTCGAGCAATCGTCCCAAGACTATGTTTTTTCTTATTATTTTTGCTAATATTCCTCCTGTAGAGGGACACGCCCGACTTCACCGTGGCGACGAGGGACGAGCGGCGACATCGGCACCCCCTCCTCCTCTGGGAGCCGCCGACGGCGACCGACGCTGAAGACAGCGACGTCGGCGACGACGGCGGCGACAACGGCGAGTGCGGCAGCGAAGACGGGCGGCGGCGGCGGTGCCCAGTACGAGCCGCAGGCCGCCCTCCGCTCGGCTCCACAAGGCCGGGGAAACCTCTGCGCGGCACCGCGCGCGCGGGCGCGCGCGACTGGGGACGGCGAGAGACGATAGTTCAGCCTCGGGTTGACTTGTTGGACTGCCTCAGACGAAATAGGTCCGCGGGAAAAGAGGCAGGAGCAAGTCACGACAAGGTTCACGAGGATGCTGCTCGCACCGAGCACCAGCCACAGACGAGGACCTCGTCGGGGACGTCGTCGTCGCCGAGGGCGTCGCCAGTGACGTCGCCAGGGCGACGGCGGCGACGCCTTCCCTCCTCCTCGGGAGGATGACCGGGCAGGTTACATACGTATGCGCTGTTACTGAGTTTCAGAGGGCGCGCCGATGCATGCCCCAAGGGGGGGGGAGGGGAGGAGGAGGAGGAGGAGGAGGAGGAGGAGGAGGAGGAGGAGGAGGAGGAGGAGGAGGAGGAGGAAGAGGAGGAGGAGGAGGAGGAGGAAAAGGAGGAGGACAAGGAGGAGGACGAGGAGGCGGCGGTCAGGGACACCCTCCCCCCCCCCCCTCCCCGGTCCGTCGTCCCGGGACCCCTCCCCCCCTTTCCCGACCCGATCCGTCGTCCCGAGCCCCCCCCACCTCCTCTTCAAAAGGAGGGGGGGGGGTTGAACCCCTCCTCCACGCCCATTGGACCGGAAAATCTGATCGTGCCACCCGCCCTCCCCCCATCCCCTTTGGCACCTCCGCCCCCCTTGATCCCGAGCCCTACCCCAGAACCCTACTGCCCTTACCCTAACTCCCTCCCTAACACCCTAAGTCCCTAACACCCTAACCTTGACACCCTAAGCCTAACACCCAAACCTGAAACACCCTAGCCTTACACCCGAACACCCACACCCTTCGTGATCCTAGCACCCTAACCTAACACTTTACTCCAAACCCTACCGACCTGAGCCGTAAGCCCTAACCCTATCACCTGAACCCGAACACTAGCGCCGTAACCCTAATACCCGAACCCTAACACCCTACCCCTATCTAGCCCTAACTCCCTACTCCGAACCCTACCACCCTAACCCGAACCCTATCACCCAAAGTGTCACACCGTGGCTCTAGCACCAATGCCCTAACACCCGAATTCCAACTCCAACACCCTGACACCTCGACCCTAACAAAGCGAGCCTGACACCCTATACATTCTGAGCTATAAGCCCTAAGTCCTGCGCCGTCAGCCCTAAGCCGTAAGCCATGGGTAAGCTCTAACACCCTAATCCCAGGATTTAAACCCTAAGCCCTAAGTCCCAAGCTCTAAGGCTTAAGCCCCAAATCCTAAGCTCTAAGCCCTAAGGTTTAAGCCCTGGTCTCGGCTAAACTGTGGATTTTGTCTCGGATCCCGTGACCATATATTGTTTGTGTACGCCCAGAACGCCCTTTCGACACATCTGGTAGTGCGACGCGGAAACTACGAAAGCAGAACGGATGAGAAAAAGAGTGGGACGACAAGAAGGAGAGAAGGAACACAGAAGGAGGTCCAGAACGAGGATGCGGAGGAGGAGCAGGGGAGGAGTGGGAGGGAACTGAGGGGGGGAGGGGAGAGATGGGGAGGGGGCGGTGCGGAGGGGAGGAGGAGGGGGAGGAGAGCGGGGAAGGAGAGGAAGGGAAGGAGGATGAGGAAGAGACGAGGGGCGGGAAGACGGCAGAGGGGACCGGGGCAAAGTAGGTGCGCGCGTGTCACATTTGACATCCGACCCTCCCTCCCATCCCTTCCAACTGCAGCAGCGGGAGGAGCAGGAGGCCCAGGGAAGGCGGGGCAGGGGACACGAATAGTCGTAAGCAGTCCGATCCAGAAATGCGGCCCGCTTTCGGGCGAGAGCGCAATTCTGAACGACGGGAGCAAAGCGCCGATCCTAAAGTGCGGCCCACTCTGCAGCGGGAGCGCCATTTCAGAAGGAACCGAAACGCTCGGATCGTCCAAAACACGTGACGAATATCGAATTCAGACCAGCACTGTGTGATAGAGACAACATGCAGTGGGCGCGCGACTTTCAGGCCACCTCCGGGGGAGAGAGAGAGAGGAGAAGGAGGAGGGTTTGAGAAGGAGGAGGAGGAGGAGGAGGAGGAGAAGGGAGGAGGAGGAGGAGGAGGAGGAGGAGGAGGAGGAGGAGGAGGAGGAAGAAGGGAGGAGGAGGGTTAGAGGAGGAGGAGGGTTAGAGGAGGAGGAGGAAGGGGGTTAGATGAGGAGGAGGAGGACAGTTTCTCTCTGCGCAGCATGGGGGGAGCCAGGGACCGGAAGGGCACGCGCGATCCACCGCATCACGTTCCACCTCCGGCTTTCCCGAGCGCACGCCGCCCCAACCCCGGCCTGCCGGGCCCGATGCAGAGGCCTTCGGGGGAGAGGCGGAACAGGAGGAGGAGGAGGAGGAGGAGGAGGAGGAACAGGAGGAGGAGGAGGAGCGCCAGTACCTTCCCACGTCTGTCGGTGAGCTCAGCCTCGACGCCTGGGCCGTGGCCATCAGTAGAGCCTGAGCTCGTGAGGGGGCGGGGGAAGACTCGAATACTCGTCGGGCAACTTCGAGCGAACGGCTTGGAACACCTCGAACGGCTGAGGAACCGTGAGCGCCACTCCGTGTCGCCGACCCGCAGTTTCTTCAGCACTGTGGTCGATATAGAAGCTATGAAGGCGTTGGCGAGGATGGCATTCTCACGGGTGAGGTCGAGCGCTGGATATTGGATACTGGCCATGGCTCGGACGTCCATTCCCTGTGCTTTGTTCGGTTCCGTGCGTGTTTTTTTCGCCACGTGATCAAGGATGCTCCTCGATGGTCTTCGCCGAAGGAAACATGCACACGTCCGAGCGATGCCAAGGGATAGGAAGGCCGAGCCCAGGACGCGGGACAGGGCGCGGGGGGAGGATAGCACGGGGGCGACAGACGAGATATGGACGACGCGAGGGCAGCGAAGATGGTGAGCAACGGCATCGGGACGGGCGCATCCAAACATGCAGGACCAATGATCGTGGGCGTGCACTCGGCCAGCCCCCTCCCCTCTCTCCCCTCCTCCTCCTCCTCCTCCTCCTCCCCCTCCTCCTCCCTCTCCTCCTCCTCCTCCTCCTCCTCCTCCATCCTCTCCTCCTCCTCCTCCTCCTCATCCTCCTCCTCCTATTCCTCCTCCTCCTCCTCCTCCTCCTCCTCCTCCTCCTCCTCCTCCCGCGACGGTCGTCAGATACGGCCATCGAACGATCGGAAAGGAGCCCGAGTCAGGATTTCCCGCGCCAGGGCCCATCTTGCGTTGCGCCGTCGGGGAAGGGGAACGACGCCCAAACAGGTTCTCAAACCTTATCTGGAAAAGCCGCGGAGGATACCGCCCGAAAGACGGCACCCTGCATCTGGGCCGACGTCCCTCCAGGGCGGCCCTGCTCAGGCCCCCCTGGCCACGTCCCCGAGCGAGGAACATCTGCGTTGTGGCGATGCGGGGCTAGCGGCAAGGCAGAGCAGGGTGAAGCTGGGCATAGTACTGCACCATCGATTGCTCCATACGCCAACGTGGAGCGCAACACTCTCCACGGATCAGGCCAATGATCGGGATGTGATCAACTTTTCCTATAGGACGACATCGGCAGCCTGCTCTAGTCGGTTGTAAAGTGGGGCCAATCGCTGGGCAAGTGTGACCGATGCTGAGCGCCATGCGTTCGCCAGGGCAGTCGCGACAAGGGGAGGAGGCCCACGATGACAAGGACAGGCTCTCCGAGAGGGCGAAGGAGTTGGGCGGGAAGTGTAAGCAGCAGGAGGCGGAGGAGGAGGAGGAAGAGGAGGAGGAGGAGGAGGAGGAGGAGAAGGGGGAGGGGGAGGGGGAAGGGGAGGAGGCGGGGGAGAAGGAGGCGGAGGAGGCGGAGGAGGAGGAGGAGGAGGAGGAGGAAGATGATGATCATGAGGAGGAGAGTGCTGCTCATACTGTGCCCCTGTAGTGGAGACTGGGGCACGGGAGAGCGGGGGGGGGAGCCAGAACGAGGGGGAGGGGGCCAGGCCCGCCCGCCTTCGCGGCCATCTCCTCAGGGCTGGGCTCGAGTTCGAACTCGCGGCAGAGAGCGTCCGTGCTCTCCGGCCCCTGGCGCGGGGGTAGAGGCGCGCCCGACGAGCGCCGCCACTTCCCCCGCCCCCTGCTTCCTCGCGCGCTGCTCCCGTGCGCCCTTCGTCCTCCCTCCTGCGCCTTCCTCCTGCTCCTGCCGCTGGGCGTCTCCTTCTCCTCCCGCTGCTGCTGCTGCTGCTCATCGTCCTGCTGCTGCTGCAACGACCAGCACCGCCACCACCACCCGCCACCGACGAGAAGGGTGCGGGCGAACTGAGAAACGGCGAGGGAGCACGAGGAAACACAATCGGACCTAGGCTAGAAGAACATCCTTCAAGAACATGAGACCCTCCGCCGGCCAAAACCCATACAGCATACAAGGGTCCCCTCTTCCAGAATGCACGAGATGCACCCAACAAACACGACGAGCACTACGGTACCATTCCCAAACCAACCTCGATCGTATTCCTCGGTTCGACTGTCGTAGGACGCGGAAGAGGGGCGACAAACTTCAGGACGAGGGCGGGGGATGGGGCAGACCGACAGACAGCAGGGAGTTGGAGCGGACGAGAGAGACGCAGCACCTCGGCATGCCAGCGCGATGCTGGAGAAACAGCTCGAGTGGCCAACATACAATGAGCGCGTGCGGCTGGCGCACGCGACCCATACACACATCTGTCAAGGCTGCTGGTGCCTTCAGGCGCTGCGCTGCAAACAGCGTGTTGCCCTGAGCGCTGGACAAGGGAACCAAGGGCTTCTCCTTGGCTACGAATCGGCTCCCCGACCTATCTCCAGGAACTTTTTGCTGTCACTCCAGCGTCTCGGCTGCTGTACGGCGGGTCCGTGTCGTGTCGGCCACAGCGTCGGTTCCTGACGTCGCAAGGATCGTTCGACCTTCCTTGAACGATCGGCCGTTTCCGAAACGTCAGATCCTTCAGCATCGACCGATCCTGGATCGCCAGACGGCGTTCCACGCGGAGCGCCGTCGGCGGGGTCGCCGCCGGTCGAGACGAGGCGAAGCAACCGTACGGAAGGAACGATAGGCAGGAGAATTGGGGCAGGGTGCGGGACGAGCGAAGGCGAGGGGCAACAACACCCGCGCGGGGCTTCGGCAAAAGTGTGGTGCCGCTGGCTTGTCCGTGTCGGGTCGGAGCAGGGTGCCAGGAAAAGCCGATCGGCGAAACACGCGCAAGGGGGGGTCGATGCCTTCCCGCCCGAGCCAATTCCCCCCTGTCGGCGCCCCTGAGAACATGGTGCTGACGACCGACCGCGAGGCCCAGGGGTGGCTTCCAGACCCCCCCCCAGACCTTTGGCGGTCAGGTACCTATGGCTTTCAATCCGTGGGCGCAGGAACCATGTGTCCAACGTTTTGTTTGTGGGGGGTGTTTCTTATCTGTGTGATTATGTACGTATGTATGTATATCTATATATTTATACACGATCAACATTTACATAACTAGATCTGCCGAAGTATGGCGGAAGAGTCATTGTTTTCCAAACTTGTTGCCAACCATCCTGTGGTGTTGGGTCCTCGTTTTGAAGAGACGGTCCCCGCGCTCCCTCCTTCAATTCCCTCCTTCCTTCCTTGCTTCGGCTCCTCCCTCCTCCCCCTCCTCCCACCTCCCATCCCTGCCTCTGCCCTGCGCATGTCCTTGCCGTCGTCGTCATCATCATCACCATAGGGAGCTCCACCGAATGCGCCAGTGGCGGTGCCTACATGCGTCTACCCCACCCAGTGCGGCGCTTCGTGGCCCGATGGGGGGCCCCACCGAATGCCCCAGTGGCGGTGTCTACATGCGTCTACCCCACCCAGCACAGCGCTTCGTGGCCCATAAGGAGCTCCACCGAAGGCTCCAGTGGCGGTGTCTACATGCGTCTCCCACACCCAGCATAGCGCTTCGTGGCCCCATAGGAAGTTCCACCGAAGGCCCCAGTGGCGGTGTTCTCATGCGCCTCCCCCACCCAGTACAGCGTTTCGTGGCCCCATAGGGAGCTCCACCGAATGCCCCAGTGGCGATGTTCACATGTGTCTCACCCGCCCAGCACAGCGCTCCGTGGCCCAAAATGGAGCTCCACGGAATGCCTCAGTGACGGTGTCCACGTGCGTCTCGCACACCCAGCACAACGGTTCGTGGCCCCATAGGGAGCTCCACCGAAAGCCCCGATGGCGGTGACCACATGCGTCTCCCCCACCCAGCACAGCGCTTCGTGGCACCATAGGGAGCTCAACCGAATGCCCCGGTGGCGGTGTCCACATGTGTCTACCCCACCCAGCACAGCGCTTCGTGGCCCCATAGGGAGGTCCACCTAAGGCACCAGTGGCGGTGTCCACATGCGTCTCCCTGACCCAGTGCAGCGCTTCGTGGCCCCATCGGGAGCTTCACCGAATGCCCCAGTGGCGGTGTTGCGCCTCCCCCACCAAGTACTGCGTTTCGGGGCCCCATTGGGAGCTCCACCGAAGGCCTCAGTGGCGGTGTCCTCATGCGTCTCCCCGAACCCAGTACAGCGCTTTTTGGCCCCATAGGGAGCTCCACCGAAAGCCCCAATGGCGGTGTCCACGTGCGCCTTTCCAACCCAGCATAGCGCGTCGTGGCCCCATAGGGAGCTCCACCGAAGGCCCCAGTGGCGGTGTCCACATTCGTCTCCCCCACCCAGTGCAGCGCTTCGTGGCCCCATAGGGAGGTCCACCGAAGGCCCCAGTGGCGGTGTCCAAATGCGTCTAACCCACCCAGTGCAGCGCTTCGTGGCCCGATGGGGGGCTCCACCGAATGCCCCAGTGGCGGTGTCTACATGCGTCTCCCCACCCAGTAGAACGCTTCGTGGCCCCATGGGAGCTCCACCGAAAGCCCCAGTGGCGGTGTCCACATCCGTCTGACCCACCCAGCACGGCGTTTCATGGCCTCATAGGGAGTTCCACCGAAGGCCCCAGTGGCGGTGTTCACATGCGTCTCCCCCGCCCAGTACAGCGTTTCGAGGGCCCCTCGGCAGCTCCACAAAAGGCCCCAGTGGAACAGTTCACATGCGCCTCCCCCACCCAGTGCAGCGCTTCGTGACCCCATAGAGTGCTCCACCGAAGGCCCCAGGGCGTCACCCCCGCCCAGCACAACGTTTCGTGGCCCATAGGCAGCTCCACCGGAGACGCTACCCACAACTGCGGTACTCACAACTGCATACGGTTGGGTCCTTCGCCAGGCTAATGTCTGTCTCCTGCTTAGTCCTGGAAGGTCCCGCTTGAGGGCCCTCGGGGGCTGCCAGAACTCGGGGGCGACGATGGGGGCGAATATCCCAGGGGAGACCAATACATGTATCCAGAGGCGCCGATGGTCAAGGCCTTCGGCGAGGCCCTGGGCGCATGCATGTAATGTACGCCACTGGGCTATTCGCCCATATCGTCGCCTCTGAAGAACGACCCAGGATAAAAAAGACTGGCCCTGGCGGAAGAGGTCGAAAGCCCTGGGGCTGGCAGGCCAAAGCCTGCAAGAGGACCAGGCGGCATATTCGACCATAGACCCCTGGCTTCCCACTGGGAACACGACTTGTGCACTCCACCCCCCCACAATCAAGCTGGTCCCGCACATGACCTTGAAAGGGGGGCTGTGTACAAAACTGGCATCTCCTGGATATGACTGTAGTGCACCACCCTGGCGAACAAGCTGATCCGGCACACGGCACGCGCGCGGGAGCGGTGGTCACAAATCGCCCCCCGACACGCTGGCCTTAGGCAGTCTCTGGCGGTTTCTGGCAATATTTTGAAAGTCTTCGGCGGCGCGGCTTTCGGCGCGAAAGCTGGATGGTTGCGCGGGGCACTGGATCCATGACATCTTTGCACGCTCGATTAGGTCTGTCGGGGGGGGAGGGGAGGGTGGGTGGGCTACAAATGGGGCTACAATCATGCAACTTCGGGCGGTCCCTGGACAAACCTCTTGGGTCAGAGGAAGATCAGCCTCAAGCCGGGTTCGCTCCTGGATCTCACCTTGGGCTTGGGCAACTAACCTCCCCGAGCCCGGAGGAGCCCTCGCGACAGCCTCGCCCGGGGCCCTGCGAGTCGTCGGTGGTCTTCTTTTCTCACGGTCTCCGGCGGCTTCTGGATGGTTGCGACGAACAGGTGGGTCCATGCTCGAACACCCAGGTCTCGACTAGCTATCTCAGGGGGCCCCAAGAGGCGGAGGGGGGCGTCCGAGCAAAGGATCGCAAATCATAGCCCGAGGCAGATGCGCGGACGACGGGGGCGTGTGAGATCTGCGAGACCCCCTTGGCCCTGGCCACAGTGGTCCCCCCCCCCGCCCCCTCGCCCTCCCAACCCCCTCTTTGGACGCCCCCGAGAGGCGCCCCACAGGGAGGCAGAACCACACGGGGAAGCGCGCCCACGCTGCGCGAAGACCGCCGCCCGGCGGAGGCCCGAGCCCTGCGCCCCCGCGCGCGGAGCGACCGCCCGCAGCGCACCCGTGGCCGCCGCGCGCTCGACCCGCGGGCCCGGCCGGTGCCTGCCAGCCCGGGGGCCGTCGTCGGCGAGCCTCCGCGGACCGTGGCCGTGTCTCGGGGGGTGCGGCAGGCGCCCCCTGGCACGGGCTCCCCCAGCCGTGCACCGCCCCATGCTGGAGACCCCCGGGCCCTCTGGGCCTCGCGAGGGGTGCTCCGTGGGGGCCGTGGGGGCCTCCGCGACATCCTGGCGGCACGGTAGGCCAGGGGCGCCTCTGGCAACACGGGGCAGGGCCGAGCCAAAACAGGGGTCCGAGGTACCCTTCGGCCCCCTCCCTGGCGTGGCAACGTGCACCGCCGTTTCAGCACGCGTGGCTGAACATAAAGGAGAAGGAGGAGGAGGGGGAGGAGGAGGAGGAGGAGGAGGAGGAGGAGGAGGAGGAGGAGGGGGGGGTGGGGGGGGGAGGAGGAGGAGGAGGAGGAGGAGGAGGAGGAGGAGGAGGAGGAGGAGGAGGAGGCGGAGGAGGAGGCGGATGAGGAGGAGGCGGAGGATGAGGAGGAGCTATGTCTGCGAAACATACGGGGGCCGAAGACCGACGACGCCTCGAGAGGCGCCAGCG